GTCTGTCTGTCTGTCTGTCTGTCTGTCTGTCTGTCTGTCTGCCTGCCTGCCTGTCTGTCTGTTTGTCTGCCTGTCTTTCTGTATATCTGCCTGCCTGCCTGCCAGCCTGCCTGTCTATCCCTCTATCTGTAGATCTATCTATCTACCCGGCCAATTACCCAGTCAGTCATCCATTCATCCATCCTCTCATCCTTCCATCCATCCATTATATTATGTTTCAATCATTATAAGGTCAATAATCAAATACAATCCTCAGTCTCTCACGTCTCTGCCATAATTTGGTTAAAATATTAAACTTTCATACCATAAAGTTGAGGGTTTTATTCGTGCCACTTCTACAGATCATACTACTTCGCTCGAGAACTTTTTTGTTCACTATTGATATTTATTTCCTTCCTTATACAATCAGCCACTGACATGACAATTAATTTTTCTCTTCTTGTTTTTCCTTTTCAGTTGAAGCTTCGAATGGTACGTTTTTGTTTTTTTAATTACTTAAACATAATATAGAAAATGCAGTCTCTAACGACCACCTGTTTTGGACAATCACCTGTACAAACGGCCACTTCCCATTTCCCCACTTGCGGATTACAACAACAAAATATTTAACATAATGACACTGTGCAAGACGCCGCCCTGACTAAGACAACCGCTTTTTTCCTCGATAATGAAAGGCCACCTTATATAATTTCGACTGTATATAATTTCTAAATCCATCCTAAGAAGCAAAATGTTAAAAGGCCTATTGGCCGGATTTTAAAGCACTCGGATTGCACAGATATGATTTTTAAACATCTGCAGGTATTGTGTTTTGTTCTTGAACAGGGGTCTCAAACTCAAATTTTGGTCTGGGGACCACTATAGATCAAGTCAGGGTGTGTCTGGACCGCATCGAGTAGATATTTGTTCCATTTAATAATTGATTTTGTTTAAGTTGCAAGAATGCTTTCATTGTTTAAAGTACAACTGGGCAATACAACTGATCTTATCTTCTCAGTCTATGGTTCAGAACACTTCAGAACATAGGCTTCTCGTACGCACTCCTTACTGTGCTTCTTCTAAAAATAATCATGGTTCACAGCCACAATTGGTCAATTGGCGTGTGGCAGAAACGTGCTGACCACTCTATTACATGTTCTAAACTTTGGTGTCAAAAAAGTTCCGCAAAATAATGTTCTACGGGCCCCAGTTTGTCTGCAGAAACAAACATTGACTTAAAGACTGCAACATTTGCCTAGTGGTGGTCAAAGAAATTTCTTTTGAAATAACAATGCAACAAACACCAGAATAACAGAGATACTTCTGTGCAAAATATTATCATGTTCAAGATGATTGGTCTCCAACAAAGGAGCTGCAAATCCTGTACCCCCC